ACGACGACGACGACGACGATCTTCACGCTGACGAAGCTGATTCTTAATGTTGACGCTGGACGACTAAGGCGATACTTTTATCTTCCCACGCGGTCGAAGAACGATGGACACCAGAAGATGAGCAGAGCGAGTACAAGCGAGCACAGCACGCACGCACGCACACACACGCTCCGGCGGTGTGGTGCTACTCGCGCGCATCGCGGCCAGCACGGGACCTTCGGCTCCGCTCGACCCTGATGCTCGGCTCCGCTCGGCTCCGCTCGGCGCGGCTCGACCCAACTCGATTCGACTCAGCGCGTCTCCGCGCGGCTCCGCGCGGCGCGGACAACGCGTTACCGCGCGCGTGAGAGAAAGAGAGAGCGCATTTGGGAAGGGGCAGGTGAAGAGGAGCGGATTGACGCCGAGCGAGTAAACCACCACCGGCTTGGTGAGCGCGCAGGGGCGGAGATACGCGCGAGTTGTCCTGGAGCGGGTCGAACAAATGGAGCAGGATTGTTAGCTGCGGTATTAATTAGGCTACTGATTAGAGTACCGAGGCTCACGCGATCGATCGCAATTCGGTCGAGATGAGTGACCGAAATAACTTTCACGAACATCATTAATCGCACAGAAGTAGTATCTGTAATATCGGATGATCAGTCACTTGACATAAATCCATCAACCTCTCACGGCAAAACTATCTTCTTCGTGTTTCACAGTTTCCGCAACTTTATAGAGAAGAATTACTCTGTGTAGAGTGTATTTCTCGGTAATAAAATCTCTTTACTTCCTGTAGTCCAGTTCCAGAGTGTTCCAACGTGCTTTCCGGAGTAAAGTATCTTAACTTTCGCTTTCTATCTTTTAGAGTATTTCTTGCAGCGAGACTGAGACTAATCTAATAACAACTCGATTATTTATAGTTCAACTATATTAACTATGTTTCATTGTTAATTATCGATAATATGTAAGCACTAATACTGTTTCAATATTAATCATCAATACGAACCGTCTTTACAAGAGCTTTAACTTTTCTCTTCACAGAGCTTAAGCCCGACAAAATTTTCCATTTTGGACATCGCGCGAGCAAAGGTATTCGCGAGACAAGTCGCTGAAAATGAATGCGCCTTAGCATTTAATGCGTGTCCGCTACTGAATGGGCGTGCAGCTGCAGTCGCGTCACCCGCTGCGAGCAACGCATCCGCTCTGCTTCTGCTTTATCGCGGCTCCGCGCTGCACCGCGCCGCAACGAAACGAACGCGCTGGTCCGTCCGCTCGTTAGCATGACTCCGCTCGGTTCTGCTCGATCCAGCTCGGCTCACCTCGGATGGCCACGGCCTCGACATGGGCCGTGGTGATTCGCGCGATGGTCCAGCATCAAACATACAATTCGGCTGGAGTCTCTTAACCGTGATTTTGGCACGTATGGATGAAAAGCATCAACCATAAATCGACGAAATCAGAATGTCGAAAGAGATATTTCCGCAAACGATTTATCATTTTAGTTAAAAATGATAAATCAAAACTTAAATATGTAGCTAGATAATATAAATAGTTGATAAGGTGAGATAAGAAACAGAGAGAGAGAGAGAGAGAGAGAGAGAGAGAGAGAGAGAGAGAGAGAGAGAGAGAGAGAGAGAGAGAGAGATTAACAGTTTTAACTATAATAATGCATTATTATGGTTAAAATGTTACATATTGTTCCGCGATCCCTAATTTGTCGAATGTCTAATACCGGAGATTTATCGGATTTGGTATTAAATTATCATGTCACGTTGAATCAAGAGTATCACGCGACGCTGCACGCTCCGCACAGCTTTACATCTGTACAAATAGGATTAATTTTGTTTATTAATAGGCGTGTATTCACACGGCCGACTTTGCGAAGCAACTGCGCTTCTTACCACTCCCACTGTAACAACCTTGCCCCATACGATCTTCATGATTCGCATTTCTATTAATAGTTACTTCAATCGCAAAGTATCCAAGGATCTACCGAAGTAAAGGACTTATGAATTCACACAAGTTTGCGAGAGCAGCTGTAAAGCGAAGATTTATAACGTTCGAGCAACCGCGGTGCTGAAGATTTATGTTGTAGCCGAAATGTAAGGTTGTAAAATCAAATGTATCCAAATTTGTGAAAGCAAGAAAAATCACGATTTTTCTACGAAAAAAGGTTTTCAACACTTTGACATAATGACGTGACGTATAGAAACTTGCTTCGATTTTAAAACTCACACAAAGTTTCACGGTTCGATTGCTTACATTCCGATATATGCAATCAATTCTATCGACGCATCTTTTATATTACAAATATCTCGCAATTCGAAGAAGATTAATTATCTTGAACTCGATTTCTCGCAACATTAGCATTTTCATTGAGCCGCGTGCAATTTGACCGTACGCTTATCTTCGCCGCATAATCCTACAGTCTCGCTTAAGCTTTATCTCCGTTTCGTCGCATTTCTCACATTTCTTCCATATACGCTCGTCGTCGCGCCACGTACTAATCAGCGCCCAACTTGAAGTAATCTGTCGGCGTGTCTCATATCAGTTTCTGCTTAGTCCGCAAAAACAAAGGGAGATTGGAGGACTAGTTACATCTGCTCTTGTCTTCGCACAGCGAAATGTTTCGCATTAATAATACCGCGCCACGCTCGTGCTGATGTGGATTCAAAAGCTGAAGCGGACTATGCCAACACACCAGCATGATTTCAAGATTAAGTAGTTATCCTTCGCCCGTTATCGTCATAAAATTTTAATCTTAAATTTAAATTAATTATTAAACATAATTGTTATATTTTAAAAGAATTGAAAAATATAACATTTAAGTTACATAACAGATTTTTCAAATTAGTTATTTTCGAATTGCTATAAATGTAACTATAAAAATTCCAGACTTTATGATTGTAAATTAACAAATATAAATGTTGCCAATTTAATAATTCTCAGGTGTTCAAAGTCAGTGATTGTTGTGCTAAGACAATCGAAAGACTTATTGTTAAAAAATCAGCTTTCATAACTCGGTAAATTCGTCGCCAGAAACGACGAGTCAGCTTTGCCGAGATGAATCAGCGATATCTGTGCGACGCGATAGCCATGCAGTTTGTAATCCTTCGGCATGCAGGTATTACGATCAATAGTAAGCAACGACGTTGGATATTGGGTATCGCGAAGACGGACAATAGCAGTCCGCTCTCGGTCCACTACTATATTGAGTATCTGATCCAGTATGTGAAGCATAAGCTAGATAGATATGCCTTCGGCGTATAATGCAAGTACACGTCTGTCATAAACCGCGCGATTTCTCCTTTCGACAGTTGAGATATTGCGAGCTGTCTGAAGTTTACAAAATAGAACGCGAAGCAACGACAAATTTTAGTGTACATGACAAATTTATCATATTCACATAGATTTATATAATTTAAATCATTTTTATAATAAAATTTTCTATCATATTTTTGTAAATTGCTCAAAAAATTGCAAACATGCCAGCAATCAAATTCAGATAAAAAAATACAACTTTTTAATATAAAGCAGAGATATTTTTTATTTTTTATGAGAAATATGCAAATTTACACTTGGACAATTCAGCAATATACATAGGTACGTACTACTGTTAGTTACGCTAATTAAATCATATTAATTAAATTTATATGGATTAGTGGCTTTCGTACTCTCCTGGATACACCTGGTAACAGGCAACCACAGTCGCATAAGCGTATTAACGTGTAATGCTTACAAGGGTAAAAAGATATTAGATTCTTGGTGTTAAATTAAATCCTTTCATTTCTCTCTTTCAATAATACTAATAATTTACTGGGTATTAGAAATTCAAGTCGATAAATCGGAATTCAAGAGGAATTAATAATTAAATATAGCGAAAGTACGATTAATTAATATTAGTACTTTACGTATTAATGCTTTACATCACATGGCATTATCGATCGACTGGCGATATTCACAGTTTGCAATGTTGTGTCTCTAAACAAGATTACGCCGTGCGCATCTCATGATGTCCCCGGAGACCACCCCGTGGATTTTCATAGAGCCATCTCTATGCAGATTGCGCTATCGCCATTTGCGACCGATACGACGTCGCACCAAGATGCGACGTGGCCAGGCAAGTTTAATAAGATTAAGCGGGGCACGAGCGCGCGCGAAGTTTACGGCTTAACAATGTTGTAAGTAATGCATATTGATCGTCACTGTAGATGGGCTTGTCTACTCATTACTTGCCCAGCAAAACTATCGTAGTGATTCACTATCGTTTATGAATACCGAGTGTGTAGCGAAGTATTATATTTTCCAATACTTGATAAATTTTGCATATCCCATCTAGATTATTTTTGACCATCTGATAATTATTTGAAAGCATATTTTCTGGACAGATTAATTATCCATATTTGCAATCGAAATATCAGTAATTATTGTTTCACGAAACCACCAAGCTCGCGTTTAACATTCAATTGTTTGTTGAAAGATTGAGATAAAAATTAATTAATCGTTACGTCACCTATTAGATAAAAATAATTTATGCTCTTTTGAGAATATTTCTCGTATCATTTATATAATTGTTTGATGCAATTAATCGCTGCAAAAATCAGAGCATATATATTCCAATCTTGCGAAGCAATTATTAAATCAATTCAGAGAATTAAACGCTCACAAATAGATTATCGGTGATAAAATTATATTAAATGGTAATATTTGTATTAAAAAATACTCAATTATTCAAACAAATTAATATTTTATATTTGAAAGACAAAACAAAAAAAATAAATATTCCATAAAACGATAAAGATTAATAAAGTTACACTTTTGAAAAGCGATCAAGCCAGTCCTCTATCAGCCTCGTGCGATTTGGTCGCGGAATCATTTTGTTCCATTCGTCAATTTTTGCGCCAAATATTAGCGTGGCGTGATCCTCAATAGCTAGCAATACGCATTTTCGGAAAACTACCGTAACTATCTTAGTCAAAATGTTCAAAATCGGATCCACGAGGTTACCCTCGAATTTAAGATCATATTTTCTGCAAAAAACAAAGATATCTTAACGTGGAAACTCTTTACACGTGTAAAACTAGTAGAAGTTAGATTAAATTGAATGTTGTACTTTGTAAGAAACAGCAGATAAAATCCGACAACAATTTCTACACGGATTATTGTTGTTTCTTGATTATCCGATAGCGGATATCGGTTTATAATTTCAGATACCGGACTGCGATTATTATATCTGCACACTTCTGTTTCATTACCGCTCACCTGCCCAATATTGCGATTTCATCGCGAAAACAATTTACTGCATGTTATCATCGTCAATCGATAGAATGTAATTTTTGACATCGAAAGCGGATAAACATTTTACTGTGTTTAACGTGATTATATCAGTCAGCTTATTTTGACACATCCTTTTTACGTATGCATACACGACGAATGAAAAATATAAAGATAATATAAAAAGTGATACTTACGAAACTTCAGAAAACTTGAGAGAATTAAGAGACAAATAGTAATTAGCTAGATCGATCGTTACTACGGTGTTAATCTTAAGATCGTAGAAACGACCATAGACGTCACCTTGCCTTTCGTATACCATATGTTTTAAATAATATTCATAGTTAAACTGTAAATTATAAAGTTTAAATATATTTATTTGTCCATAATTGTTGTAGCAATTTATATAATTTAGTATCTAATTAGTATCATTATATATCTGTCTTGTTCTTACGTCCAAAAGATTAAATCCCAAATTCATATCCAATATCAAACGTTTATCCTTGTATGATGCAGTCACATCATTGCTGCGTTGTATTTTCGACAAGTTCTGCATCCATCCCTTTTTGAAGTCGACGTTTCCCTTAGCTATTCCAGGCTGAAAAAATTATTTCGAAATGAGACATGTTAAAATTAATAGTTTTACCTCTTAAAAGTTTTACCTCTTGTTAATTAATTGTTTTTCGTTGTAGAAACAAACTTTCTGTAATATTTAAAAAATACTTAAATAAGATCAAAGGATATATTGTTAGCTAGATTGTTAGTATATACAGGGTGTCCCGTAAAAACCGTAACAACGCTTAGGGGTATATTTCTGAGATAATTCTGAGCAAAAAATCTTAATACCAAAATACTCAGGGTGTAGTGGTTTTTGAATTAGAAGCATTTAAAGTTAGCGAATAAGATAGCCTGAAATTTGCGCGCTCAGGTGTACAACGTACAGTGATAAAAGCGAAATTGACTATCGCTCCCCTGTTGTCAGTATTAATATTTGGAAAATAAATTTGCTAATACATATTAACATAAATATTGTTTACGCAATTAAGATTTTGTTGAAAATATTATAAAGAAAAAATATTATGATATACAAAACGCAAGCTGTCAAAAATTACATTTCTTTGACATTTCTTTTATCTTACAGATATTTGTACAATAAAATTATTAAATAATTGAAATAGTTTCACAATATTTTATTTTAATAACAGTTAAAAATAATTAAATAATATTGAATATGTAAAGACTCTTTGCGCATAATTTTGAGGTAATAAATGTTGTACCTTTGAGCAATGAAACGCATGCATTTCATTTTCTTTTAATATTTTATGAACCATTGTTTTTGACATTCCAACTTGACGACTAATTTCACGAATACTCATTGTAGGATTTTCTTCTACATTACGTAGCACTTCTTCTTCATTTTACCATAAATGAGTAACATATCACAATATTCTGTACAAATATTTGTAAGATAAAAAGAAATGTAATTTTTGACAGCTTGCGTTACAGGGTGATATATATATAAGAAATACTTACCAGCTCTGGAAAAATTGCTTCGGAAAAATCGATGAGTTTCATAGGATCCATTCCATTATCCAAAATAAACGTATGTATATACGGCAATAGAGTGTCAACTGCTTCATTGAGGTTTACATCTTTACGTACAATCTTCGCAGATTGATGAGAAGCGTGGCTGCACAAGGCAGAAATATACATTTAAAAATTTTTTTATTTATAACTTAATTGAACTTAATTTTAATTAAGTTTTGATACAAAATTTTGATCTTAATGTCAAAACTTTAAATTTTATGTTCGGGAATTTAAAAACCATCGTACTTGTACTTTTTGTAATTGTCATACAGTGAATTGCAATTTGCGATATTAAAGATACAAAACAATTAATTGTTGCGCTTTACAAGACGCAACGCAGAAATCTAATCACGAAGAAAAATATAACAATAATAAACTAAGATAAGTCTGTAAAATTATAAGAATTTGTTTAACAGAAATGGACTTACAAATTGTGTTCAATTGCAAAAGGCGTGACATTGTCTTGCGCCAAAGCTATAATCACCAAGAGAAAAACCAATTGCATTTGACCAGCCATGATTACACTGCAAAGGAACTACGGTCGATCTGACCGTCTTGTTTGATTCCTGATTTTTATTCTCAATCCCTGCCACCTGATTATCTTATCAATTTGATAATATTTTGACACATGACAAATGTAAATTTATCTAATTGGATATTAAGAAATTGTTGAGGAATTCTTGTAATCTAAGAATTTTATGTATTAACAGTATACTGATAACTAAAATAATAGAGCACAGATAGTATTGCAATTGTGATACAATAAAACTGAAAAAGCATAACATCTTACTCACATCTCGATGTTAATAGAAATAAATGAAAGATTATACTTAGGAGGGGGGGGTGAATATATGTACACAAAAGAATTAAAGAAGTATAATATATTTAGAAATAATAAATACAAGTATGTACAATATTATATTAAAAAATCAATATTTATTTGTTCAGTTGATCCAATAACTGATTTAATAGCTGATAGTTGAAAACGGGCTCCGATTTTTCGCGCGGAGCAATTATTCGATTTATTTCATTGAAATAGAATTGAATTGTATTTGTCACTTCCTTTTGAACGGTGTCCGTAATAGTGTTTTTGAAGAATGGTATTATCATATTGACGATAGCTGTCTTTATCGCACCCGCTAATCCGTTTTGATGGAATGTCACTTTAATGCTACTACAATAATAAAACAATTTACAGTAAAAAAAATATAAAACCTATTCAATATATGCAATTAAGAAAAATTACCCATCAACTTGTAACTCGAACTTGTTGAGAGTCAGAATGTAATTTGTCGTGTCGAATAAAATGTTAACCTTAGCGTGTACATTTTCTCCTGAAACTGTAACGCGACCTGTCCAGTCGAAGAACACTAGTTTTAGAATATAATTGTATGTTCCCTGAATATAAAACAAATTATTTGTACAGAAAAATACTCAAATATAATTTTTTTAGTATTTCTCTTACGTTATTTTAAAGTTCAAAAAATAATGATGTAATTACCTCCAAAAGTTCGAATTCAAATCCAAACTCAGTATTTAATATGTTATCTTTGTAAGTTAAGGTAGCGTCGCCATAGCGTTTCAAAGTGGATAAACGTTCCAATTTTCCCGAATGCAAAATGAGGTCAGCTTTGTATATCATTGGTTGGATAGGTATCTCTCCCTCTCTCTCGGAAGTAGAATTCGGAAATTGCTGGTATAAGATTATCAATATTCTAACATCTTGTCTTAATAACAATTCCAATTCTATTATCAGAAACAATTAGTCGAAGCACTTTTTATTAGAAATCAAAACCTTAACAAAATTATGCGTAAAAGTATTTGCTTTGACTTTAAATATAATATCAGTTCTTGCATGAATATCATAAATATTTGACTGTTGAATGATAAAACTACTGAATGATTGAAGCATCGAATACTTAAAAATATCTTTTTCTTCACACAAACTTATTTTTTTTACAATATTATGGGTCGATCAGTATCTGACGTGTCTAGCGTAATAAGAGTTGAAAAACGCGGCATTAAACTTTAGCCCGAACTCGGCCTTCTATTGTGATTCTACCAGGTGAAACCTTGATTTCACTTTCGTCCAAGTTCAAAGCTGCTGCGCTACATCAAAAATGGGATCAGCGAAAACGAAGCGAAGGATGACCTCGACGTTTGACCGTGATCCACCTCGGCTCAAGGTCAATACTCGAAAGTGTCATCCTGCGATTCACTCTCGCTCTCGTCCAAGGCCCAACTCTTCGGTTTCGCTTTCTACGGTCCCGAGGTTAAGCGTGCGCTTTCGCACCGCGGCCCGTTGACCTCGAATCCCAGTTTTGACCTCAAAACCCAGCTTTCTCTCGATTTTCGAGGTGACCTAACGCGATCGTGAGCGAACGTGCGCGTTTCCCGTAGTAACGAGACTTTCTTATGCGAATGATTAGTTTTTCGGTGATATTAATGCGTATTCATGCAAATTTTACATTTATTTTTTTTGTAAAAAGTATTTTATTATATTGTGATACGACAAAATGTTTACTGTCTAATCGAATAGTTCGATAATTATTATTATTCTTCAATGTTTATTTCTAAGAGCATTACGCACCACCCACAATTTTTGTTCAGTACGTGGAAGATCGAGCGGATCCAAGCCACGATTAATAATAAATTCTGAAATTTGAGGATTAAAACGGTCCATCAACTTATTTAAGTCAATACTCCGATCTTCATTCTGAGTAAAATCCCTGTAATTATTAAAATTTTATATTCACAATTCTATATGTATATTATATATACTTTAATAAATATTAAATAGTATATAAATAAACTTACATTAAAACAGACTTTACTCGATGAAATAAAAAAGTACACAAGCAAAATGGAATAATAAATAATTGTATACATACCTTTAGAAAAATTAGTTTCTAAAATTTAAGGCATATTTTCTGAATGTTATAAGAAAATATTGCCGATAATTAATAAAATAATATTTAAAAAGAATAAATTGCATTTGTATGCATACTTACCGAATTTTTAGCTCGGCCAAAGCCAGAGCAACAAATGACAGAACGAAGTAAACAAGCTTCATGGCAATTGTATGGAGACTATGTCTATTCTTTGTGTTCACTTCGCTTTTATAATTCTTCGCGTAAATCCAGCAGATTACCGGATTATCAAGATTATTAATCTTGTCGATCATCAATCAAAAGAATGTGCCTTTAGAAATTACATTTTTATCATGTAATCACACTAACACATTAAGAAAGAGCAGTATGCGAAAAGAGAACAAAGAATATTATCAAAGGCTTCTAAATCAGTATGTGTGAAAGATATAAATCATATCAATAAAAAGAGTTAGGAATTCATGTACGTAGTTCCATTAAGTATCGCTTATAATTTAATATTATCACGTGAGAATATAAGATTTATTTATTATACTTTATCATTAGACCACTTAAAACAGTTTTCGGATCCAATTTATTAACCTACTAATTTTTACACCTAATTTACACCTAATTTATTCTAATCTGATTTAATAATAATATAAAATACGTAAAATGTATAGAAACTGAAAAGTAAGCATTTATCTCATCATATCAATATTGCTTTCTATTTCTCGAAAGAATCTAAATAAAATTATGTATAAAATTTTTGTTAAAAAATAATAAAATTTGATTTCAACATTTCCTTACTTATCCTTTATATTTAATATTAAATAATTATTAAATTCAGAAATCATATTCACCATATTATATCACGTCGAATGTTTAAATCGTTAGAAATCCTACGATTTTAACATGTACAAATATTATTTGTTTGTTCGCATGCATTTATTATCATTATTTGACGAGATAAAGTCGATCTCTACACTCGAGAGATTCGTGACGTTCGTTTATCGACTTTTACAGAATCTACTTCGTTACGTGGCGCTCTCTGTGCTGTAATTCTTAATGTAATATACAGTATTAACGAGGCAAACCACGTTATCTATTCATTGCATAATTTAATTAGAATCGATATTTCACGAATTGCCAACATTCAACTCTGACGACTATTCTTGCAAATGCAAATTTTAGGTCGGCTTAAAGATTTCAGTAGAACTATATCTTTGATTTTATTAAAAAATTCTAGCAGAAAATTTATTGTGCATTTTTAAGACTTTTACAATTCGTCAAATAATCTAACTTTTATTTTTTATTATTTTATTTTCTAAATTACTGTTATAATAATTTCTATTATATGCATTTTTTTTACTTAGTTTTTAATTAGTTTAATTAGAGAGAGGATATATAGATCACGCAGCCTAAGAGCGACGAAAACAATTCTATCAAACACCGCGAGTCGGTCTTGAAACTCTTAACATTAGGGTATTTATCAAATATTTATTAAAATCCAGTTGAAATTGATACACATTCGATAAATACCTTAATGTTAAGAATTTCGAGACCGACTCACACCTGGCGCTTAATGGGCTTGTTTTCGTCGCTCTTAAATTGCATGATCTATAGCCCCTCCCCCATTTCTCTCTCTCTCTCTTTCTCGCGCTATGTTTCAAAGCGCACATTATATCTCACTGCCCCTATTCTCCCAAATTGGAATCGGCGCAATTTCGTTCTCGATATGTTTATTGCACCTTTATCGTTTGCATGCCGTACAAGACCAATCGTTCCGTATCGACGCGTTATCTTTTCCAATAGTATTTTGCTTATTATTTCCCGTAGTTTTAATGTCACGCACATAGAAATTTTAAAATATACAGTAAAAGATTTACAATTTTTAATATTTATGATTATTAAATAACTATATAATTTCAATTAGATATTTGTATAAAAATTGAGCAACAGTTTAATGTGCGTAATTTCTCAAATCATTATTTTAAACGCTGCTATAATGTAAATGTACTTTAGATCAACTTGTGAACAACTCCGCTGCTGCGCGTTGTGTCAGTAAGTCAATCCAATTAATTTTTTAAATATCATTAAGAAAATAGATTTCAAAACAACGCAAAATATACAAGTGTCGCGGAGATTAACCGTATCACTAGTTGATAACAGATTTCTGAGGTTTTCATCACGCTAAGGATATAAAAATGAATATCCGACGTGTCTGAGCGTGTAAATTTTTGACAATCTGATTGATCAACTTTAAACACTTCACATTTAAAAATTACTGTAGCCTCGACGTTTTGATACATAGATTTTCGTCTCCAATAATCTCAAACATCTGCTATTAACGGATACAGTTGGTTTAAGGCACCTTATATTCATCAAAGCAAGCATAATAACATGATAATTTTCCTGTTATTGATTACTCAAAATCGGTTAATAACTCTTTTTTATCTCTATCCCTTTCCAATCTCTGTTGTTTTTATCAGTGTTTAAAACGGCGGGCCACGACGCACTAGGAAGCTATTACGAGTGAAAAACAATCTTGTTTATCGGCCCTGAGAGGTTCGTCCTCGAGAAATTAGTCACGATTGACCAATCGTAACTCGAGAAACGGTAGGTGTGTTTTGTGACGTCTCTCTATTCTACGCTTTAATTGCGAAATCTCATGCGTAAGAGCGAGCACATGTTATGATTAGATGGCGTAACTGAAATGTCTAACTGTGCATAAACACATCGGAGGTAGGATTTGTTTTTCTATCAAACGTAATAATATGTACGATGTAATATTTCTCGATTTGTTTTTGACATCGTCTCGTTCTACACATCACAATAGCGATCTTTATTTTGCGATGAAAACAACACCTGATTATCTTATCATCATATTCTGTTCATTTTTATTTTTTTCAAATTTATTATCTCACTAAAACTCTATTGTCTTTATTATTAATATCAATTAACAACTCTGTCATTAATATCTAATTTAATTTACCACTGTGATTATTTTCTCGCACTAAAATATTTTGCTTCAAATCTTGATAAATAAATAAATTTACCTAAGTTTAATAGATATTATCAGATTAAAAAATTCACCAAATTAATAAATATTCCAAAATGAGGTAGATATCGCTTAAGGTTGTTCAGAAAAGAAATAATGTGCTATTGCGACAACATATTTTGAAGAAGTTTGAAACAATTGTTCCAGCAATACCGGAAAAAGAAAATTATCGGACAGTGTGTATCACGTTCAAATAATCGAGGCTCCATTGTACGAAGGTTTCCGCAACACGCGAAGAGACAGAAGGTGCGCATTGCTTTCTCCTTCTGCGGCTAAACGAGCGCGGTCGTTGAAGAGAAACTGCGGACCGCGTGCTTTTGTTACTCCATTTTCGCCTTCGGGGCAGTTCCTACTCGGTCTCGCACATAAAAGCCGCTAATATACGGCGGCTGGTATATTGCATTCACGATGTCCAGAGTCAGTGACCTCGCGAACGACTCCCGCGTGTGACGTAACGTAAGGCTATCTGCTGTCACGGAAAGGAATATCGCGAGAAAGTTCGATACCGCACCACCAACGCATTCTCAAGAGTAAAATAGTATATGTGAACAAAGAACTCGAATAAAATATTGACAGTTGTGATAGCAGAGCCACTGATTGTGACTAAATGCCTTTTCACAAAAAGTCACTCAATGCCTTCCGTCCCAAAAGAACTAAATTTTTTGAAAGATAGAAAATTGAATATTTCAAAATTAGAAGTGCGAAAACGAAATGTCAGTTGTACACAACCGAAACTCTTATCTTAAATATATGATGACAAACACATGTAATGACAAAATGTAATAAATGCTAACATCTGAAAACATGTGCTATTTTAATCGAGAAGAAACATTTTGGAAATAGCACTTTGCACAGCCATTCAAGTTGAATCGTTCCTATTTAACGGTTAATATTTATACTATTTTAATGCTAATTTTAATAAGATTTAAATAACATTTATATATAAGAAATATAAGTTGAAGTACTTCTTTTTTTATCAACCGATACATTATCAAATCAGGTCAAATTTTGGATCAATTCGAGATAACTAGAGATGATTCATATCATCTATTTTCTTCTTGATTATTAGACTTCTTGTTACAAATATCACTGCTTCTATTCCTTTATCATTCTGTTGGAATGTCAAATTTAGTTTTCCCATTTAAATCTTTGAAGCACCCCGGCTAGAATTTCACGTTCCCACTAGACACGAATGTGCCATTAATAAATTCTTTTGTTTTGTTGCTTATCAGTAACGATGTCATATGTCATACAGTATCTTTTATATAGTATCTTTTCAATAGAGATTCGATATCTCTTATCATACTTACTTAATTAACGTTGAAATAGTATAAACTTTAATTGTAAAACAGGAACGATCTTTAAATGTTTGAGTGGATGCATATAACAGTATTGTTTTTTCATATATTACGCAGTTTATATTACGCAGCAGAAATTATACTGTACAAGCAGTCAACAATCCTCTAGTCTTCCTATTATCACACACGATATAGCACGTGTTATGACTACAAATACTACACGTCACAAATAATATACGTGATTGCTTTGATTAATGTGTGTCACGTGAATGACGATAAGAAGTATAATGTTAACTCTTAATCCTTTATCCAAGATCTTAATCCTGGCCTGATAAATAAAGCAAAATCGATGTACTGTCTTGATTAATTATTATTACTATATATATATATGTAAAATTATAGATTGCAAAAGTTGAAAAATTTTCACATAAATGATATTTGTGTAAAATTTCTACATATGTTTAGTAAATAAAAGAAATAATTAGATTAAATATGTTAAAAATTGTAAAAATATTTAAATTTTAAATATAATATTATATACAGCTATTATATTAATTATTTAAATAAATTTCAGAGAATATTTTTTTCTAAATTAAATATCAATGTTAATGATGAATAGTTATAAATATAACGTATGTACTGCAAAATAATATACGTATGTGTCTTATATAAGAAATCTAACTAAAATATTACGTTGATATTACCACAGAGTGTATGCAAACTTGAACGTCGTTCTTAATGAAATTTTTATGTTATCATTACGTAATGTGCGTGTCACATTCTCGTCAAAATACCTTGTTTTTCCTCTTTCTCTCTCTCTTTACAATAATCAATATTTTATTTCTTTTTCTACATTGTAGCGAATGTTAACAAGCTTGTACATATTTGAAAAATTTGACAGTCAAAAATATACTCGCGCGCGCGTTTCTCAAAAGAGAGTATCTTCTTATATCTTCGAATATCGTCCATATTACTATCAATTGGGCAATACAGAGAGAGACAACGAAATTACAAAGTTCTTGATTAAAACTCGTTTCAACGTTCCAACAAGAAAACGACAAATTATCTGTGATTATTTTTTGTGCATGTGTTACAAAGTGTTCTCTTACAAGACACTACTTTACGCAATGTTTAAAATGAAATTACAAAGTGATATGGTATATCATCGCTGAATGTTTAGATAAAAAACCATCACTGAATTTTTACATAAAAAAATATATTATCACTTCATACCGAGCATACCGGTATGCGTTCGATATAAGTTTGTTCGCACAATTTGTTGCTAAAATACTATTTAATTGGCTATTTATTTTACAAAAACAATTATTGCAGAATCTTTTTATTCTAGAAAATGTGAGGCTATTTGGTCATGAGACTGACTATGGAACTGCTTCATACAGTTATTTAAAAGCTTACTTGAAAATGACGATAGATTTGTATTCCGAGGTATCTCCATTATACGGAGATATGCCAAGGTAAAATGTGTTGGACAAACATATCAGTTCCTTTTTCCTATTTCAATTATTGGAGGTCACTGACGAAGGTCATTCGACACGTTATTAAATTTTTTTCCTAAGATAAATCAAATTATTGATGAAAGATTCATAATATTTTAAGATTTAATTAATAAAATAATAATTTACACAAAATTTTATCGTTAAATTATTAATAAAATAGTTTACTTGACTTGCAAAAGATAAAGCGCAAATTATTAAAAAATAACAACGATAATAAATAGAAACTTCTTTAAAAACTTTTTCATGGAACAATTACTATTATCGTTCTCTATTTTTGAAAGAAAGCTGAGTCTGTGGATATATTATCTCGTATCAATAAAGATAACGGCTTTCGAAAGAAAAACTATTACATGACCGCATTACAGACGTAACGCACTTTTCGATACGTCAAACGTATACGAGTAATAAGTATTCAATGAAAATACATTTTCTAGCAAAACAACATAAGAGCATCTTGGAGGACGATCTGTTGATGCGCAATGCTTAGTCATCCATCACTGGCACGAGATAAATAAAAGTGTTTTTCGGCGCAGTTAATTGCATGGTACCTCGCTTTGCTGTCGTCGATCTAGGCCAACGATTAACGTATTTTGCTTCCTTTCCTCTTGTATATCAAGGCAAAAGAGGCTCGGCCACTGGTACGACTCGCAATGACCAATCGCCGAGCTTCTTCTCACGTGAAAACATCGCGTGGTTTCTTCGCTTCGGTACGCACACTTGTACACCACGTATACGCACGCACGTATCTCATGTACAGAGTGACACGATAGTCGTACACACGATTTTACCTAACTTTGAATAGATTATTTCAAAAATGTAATTTTGTTCCTAATATTGAAAAACAGAAAATAAATGCTATTATTGGAATAATTATTGAAATTAAATATTTACAAGAAATACCTAATAACCGTATCTCACATATATAAGTGTGCGTGCGTGTGTCTAAATATAAATATGTGTATATAACATATTGTAACTATCTTATTTACAGCCGGTTCGATCAGGAACCGAGAACGCTCTACTACTACTAGTACGCGTTTTTTTTGGACACCCTGCGCAACAATATATATTCTCAGCTGTTTCTGTCCCGACGATAAACTCCGGACCGCGTTCGCCTATGATTCAGTCTGCTTCAACCGCTCGTACCTATCGTGTGTATGTCACGCATCGCTCGCGCTTTTCTACACAGACAACGCTTCTACGTGTACGTGCATACATATGTATACACACTGATTCCGTGACTGCTTCGTGACGATAAACTTTAGAGCCACTTCTTCAGTCAAGCGCAGTCGCTCGAATACGGTGGATGTGTTTACGCGTTCGCGCTTCCTCACAGTAGATCCGGCGTGTTAAAATAAAACCATCGCAAACGTGATCGATCCTGTCGAACTCCTTTATCGCGCCACGTGTTCACTGACATCCACGCATCTCGACACTTTGCCGTGCTCTTCTCGAGGTAACAAGGATAGTTTTGTTTAATTTTCGGTTAAGTGTTATTTCCTATTTAATACATATTGCAGTATCTGTTATTTTATGAGAAATTGGAAATTCAAATTATATTTGTAGCGTTCCGTTTGCAATGTTTTGTTGAAAAACATATCAAAATTTAAGAAAAATTGAAATTATTCGCGAAATAATTCTTTAATTTCTTTTAGCTTGTTTCCAAGAAGAGATAATGTATTGATTAAATTCTAATTAAGTTTAACTAACGTGAATAGCAATATTTTGTGTAAATAATATATAACTTTTTCATCATCCTAAGATATTTATCTTGAAATATTTTTATTTTACACAACAGATTATCTTGAGAAAACCATTTAAGATTACTTATAGGACCACCGTGTATCTTTCGTACTATGTTTATGTTTATCATGTGACTTTTTCCTATAGATTAGAGTTACATAATCTTCAACGGATAAACAAATTGTTTACTACGTTGATAATGAGTTTCAGGAATATCCTGTCATAGAATGTAAACAGTTTGCAATGCACAGCGACTTGCTGTCATGTCCATTTTAATATAATTTCGTAAACAAGAAATAACTTTCAGTAACTAATTCTAAAATTATAAATTGCAGTTAGAACTTGCACGATCGAGCAGGTTGCACAAAAATATATATTTTTATAAGTAAATGTTCTATCAAAGAGAGAAAATCGTGATTAGCAATGTGTTGTATGATTGCCACCGATTTCTTTCATATTACATTAATTATTAATAATACTTGATAATTATTGTTCGAATTATTTATGTGAAAATCGCATGCTAATCAATAAAAAGTCGTATATTTCGTCGTATAGATCGACATATCGATAAAAAAATTTGTTGACTGACATTTATGCCAAGATATAACCAATAGTTGTTTGTTTCTTCCAAACTAATAATATTTCACATTTATTGATTCGGCATGTGTCTATATATATGATGTTTAACATTTGAAGGCAAAGATCATCTATTAACTGAAACATCTTGAACAGCGAACTATAGTGAGATATTGATGAAAAATTATTATTCCGAATATATTATATTTTTATTATCTTGTATAGTCGACAGTACTTTTTGATGTATATTATTCGCTATAACCACGCTAGAAATGCAAATAAATGCAAAATAGTATATTTGTTATAACTGTTAAGTGCTAATAAATTCTTATACATCAGACTTTAAATTCAGAGAAATTTAATTTTATTGAAATAAAACTTCACAGTAAATATAATAATAACCAAAAAAAATTGGCAAATGGTTGGCAACTACCAAAAATTTCTCAAGTTACATAAGAGAGTTTCAGAAGGAGTTATTCAAATGATGATTCGAGACGAATGCCTGTCATAACCACTGCACGCAATTCATCGCGTCAATTCGCGAGCTTTGAATTCGCGGAAACTCGTCGCTAACGTCTCGGTGGCACTCAAAGTGCACCGTTCATTCGAAGCTCATTAATTCGATGACGCTAATGGAAAGCTCATGAGTCAGTACGAGAAAACATGTTTACACGTCGCTGCGTAATCATTGGTGTTGACAATCGTGTTGATCATTTTACCGGTATATTAGTTAATAGCGGGGCAAGTCCAGCGAACTGTTATGTATCAGAAGTGCCTGTGCAGATATTTGTGCCAAGATACAATAACAATTGTGTGAAGTAAACTCATGATAAATTTTAGATAAATTTTAGAAATAATAATAAAGTTAAAATAGTACTGGATATTGTAATAGCTAAGAGAATTTCATTAAATATTTGGATACTTCAGAATTTTTTTGATTTCTTTTCTTCAACAGAATTTGCAACAAAAAATCTAGCACTTTAATGCCCATTTCCACCAATGTAGATTAATTTTAATCTCGGTTCAACTTACTCTTTATCTTTTTTTAGTTCTAAGAATTAGAAAAAGATGAAGAATAAGTTGAACCAAGATTAAAGTTAATCTACGTTGGTGGAATCGGGCATAAATTTATTAAATACGAATAAAAAATTTAACAAACTTTATTAATATTTAAATATTATATAATAATCTTTTGTTAAATCATTACATTATTCTTTAACAGTATTAGGAGAGTGTTTACATTTGTTATATGATGATTGTGACAATTCTCTAGGTTCATAGTACGAGTTGGAAAGAAATACGAATAGATAAGATCAAAGAGCGTTCTTTCGATGATTTTCTTATGAAATACGTCTATTGCGTAATTTCCATTGCTTATGTATGTATGGAGTGGTGGTGATAGTGGCTTCGGGGAGACCGTGTTTCCTGCGCTTTGATTTTATTTCTGTGAGACGCGCTGAATCAACAAAGCTCAAGGCTACGCTAAGAGATACGACAGACTTTATACCTGAGAAGTCGGAATCATGAGAAAGTATAAATCGCACAAAAGAGTTTCGAATAAAAGTTGATGTGTATAAAAAGTCGTATGAATAATTTTCTGTATAGTACATTCCATGAATTTTCTATTCGTAGAAGCAGCACGAAAATAGCTGATGTTACCTTTGTGATAACTGAGATAACTGAAATATTTTGGTACAAGATTGATATAAATATACATTCTTCATCATCTAAAAAAGTTTCAGACAAATTCCGAAAAAGTCAATCCTGGGTTTCGAAACATCGCTATACAGTTAAGATCAAGTTTCAAAATTTTGACGTTATCGATTATTCAGCTTCTTTATTTTGCTTTCTTTTGATTTTGTGTGAGAGTTAAATTTTTTTTACTCGAAATCAATAAATCGTGTAGTCTTATCATAATCAGTGCAGACGAGTTGAAAATAGTCGCAATAATCACGATTGTGCATTCAGTGCCAGGTCCATGGCCAAACAAATTCACCTGGACGAAGGCCAGCCGCCGGCCGTCTCTATCTCGTCCGGATATTCTACTTTTGAGTCGTTTATGTCGGTCACGCGAATTCATCTCGATCTCAAAACACCGGGTCACAAGACCTACTATTTTCTCCCATTTGCGTGATAATGTATCGCGGAAGCATCAACAATGCGCGGTATTGTCGACTATGATGAGAAATCGTCTCAGAGTGCGTAAAGATGTGGTAAACTGACGAATTCACCGGAGTATGTTGAAGTAAGTCAGCGTGAAACTGATCGCAAGTAACCTAGATTGCGCTCGGAATCGAGCAAATTATTAGTAAAACAGTTTCATCTAAATATACATATACTTACACGAGTAGATTCATTTTAGTGCGGATTAATATTCTTAAAACAAGCAATAAACAAATACGTCAGAAATATGTTTTCTCTCAATTTTCAAACAAACAAAAAAGACAGTTGCACACCTCATAATTAGTACAGACGCATAAACAAGTAGATTTTCGCAACATTAGTCTTGGAAAACTATATTATTAGCGTAATTCCTCTGAAATTGGGAAATTATTTCGCGAATTCGTTACGCATGTTTATTATTCGCAGGATCTTTGCGAAAACCGGTTACTGTCGCAATTTAATCGTTATTACACGGCTCTTATTGCAGCACGATTTTTAGAAAAAAAATTACAGAGAACTAATAATTCACGACTACTACTTTATGACCTAATTACTTTCACGAATAATCCTTTATATTTACTCCTTATTTTTTTCCGTGCAAAGTGCGTGGGCTATATACGATTATATAAGTATGGATTATGTAATTACATGCCGAAAAAAATTGTGTAATACGTGTGTCACGAGAAATTAAAAAACAAATCGGCACTAATGATGAAAACACTGTGTTTGTTGTTTATCATTGAAAATTAGCTTGAAAACGTTTAACCTGCCAGTGATAGCAATACATCTCCGCGCGTGTACGATAACAACGAAACCGATTATGATTAATCGCGAAAAGTACACAATTAATCATTGGTGCGTGTTAGCAAATAATCGCACGGGGCAACGGTCGAATTAATTTCGCGATCTCGACGAAGCAATTTTAATCAAAGCTGCGTTTTCGCATTCTATTACAAATCATGGTTTACATTTTACAGATAGTGATTGTTAATAGCTTATTTTGCTGAAGTTTTTTTAAAATTGAAAAAACTCGAGCTCAAAAATCAAAGTCTATAAAAAATATATAATTTAATATAATTACTAAAATGTGTAAAATAAAAAAAATTTACAAGCTATAATAAAATCCAAGGTACACAAATTTAATATAGATTAACGCTTCGTGACGCATCTCTTTTTACGTTGATATAAAAGTGTGACTTTGATCAGCTTTAACCGACGATGACTCATAATGGCATAAAAAGACATACTTCTATATTTCATATTTGCTAAAAGAACCGCAATGTCACTCTTTCATTAAAATTTTCTACTAAAGAAAAAACATACTTTTTAATATTCCTAGTTTTTTTTTCGAATTCTAAAGTAAGGACGAACAACTTAGCTTTAGAGAGACACTCATTCAAGTGACGAGAACCTATTATAACAATGATCTGTCACACACGAGACTTCAAGGTTTCGTATTTTGGCTCAAAATCTTTCGCAAAATTTTTGGCTGTTGGCCCAAAATTTTAAGATCGTCACGGCACATCTATATTCTCGGTATAAAAAGATGAGATTATATAAGAAAATTGCTAGGAAACATCGCGGGTCAGTGCACCGCAGTAAAAAAAGACATTTGTTGAGAATGGTAGTGGAATTTTGCTAATATCAGACATAATTAAAAGTTCGCGTGCTTGTCGACAATTGTCGACTCTCTCAACGAGAATGATTGTCTGCCTTTGCCGTTTGGCCGCAGACACGAAAGCGTATTCTCGTTAGGCGATTGTCCAAATGTTTAAATTTGCATTTTGTCTCATTCCGAGAAGAATGTGAGATGCTCAAAATATTTGGTCGATTATTCGACCATATCTATACTTTAATTCAATTATTATTTTGTTATATTGCAAACAGTGACGAATTTAAACTTATCAGATCTAATGTCTCTGTGAGGTTTTTTATGTTTTACATCATATTTTCGAGATTAACCAATATTTCGCAATTATCGCTTTCGTCTATAAATATCCTGAAAAATGTGTGAGGTATCGACTTAATTTACTTTGGGATGGATCGATATTAACTGTTTGTTACTTACGCCTATAAGTAAAGCTTGTAAGTTTTCTATCGACGACAGAATGTATGCATTAACGAGATTTACGCCTGTCATGTCAATGTCGCGGCTTCGAGCGGATGAGTAGATAGACGTCATGTTGGAAAGTTCCGAATATATATATAAAATTTTACGAAAATATGTTCAATTTTTTGAAACCGTTCCAACTATTGTAAGTCGGATGGTAAACTTTTATCTATTCTTCTTTTGGCATTTGTCATTGCGCAAGATTAAATAATCTTGTCAAAAATATTTGTTCGCGCAAATTTATCGTCATTTTTACTTTCTACAATAATAAAACTTTTTAGAATGTAATCCAAGTATTTCTATAAAATTTGTATTGATTATGTGGCACATGTAGTTAAATAGAGATAATAATTACTTAATGAGAAGAACGATTATGTTATAAAGAGATTGCAGGATGCATTGAGAACCTCTGATAAACTTTCTTATTCGTCAGTCAAAGAGATAAATCCCTTTTGTTAGAGTTTGAAGATGAGAACTCGTACGAGAGTTTACATATTTTCTGGGAGAGCGCACGATAGCTTTTATGTTCTCTCGGATAATATCGATTGTTCGATTTCTATTTCACTAAACTCGCTGAATCCCTCTATAGATTATTATGTAATTTACTTAAAAGTCAACACTTATACATAACTTGAAGTACACATGCAAAACAATAATCTTTCGTATCATTTTTGTTATTTGTTAATTTTACCGAAATATCGCAATTTGTTTTTTATTTCTCTGTAATAAAATAAACGGAATAATATACATTTAAGCATGCATAAAATGCTGCACGATTTATGCATGCATAAAAATACAGTTTCCATTTTAGATAAATACGACTTGTTCAGTTTTCTGTCGAAAAAATTCGAGAATGCAAAACCGCGAATTGATCTGTCCTAGTTTGTACCGTTTCGTAAGCAGTGATGCATATGGTAAAATAATTTAAGCGCGTCGAGTACAGGTAGATTCCCGTCGCTACACGAGCGTTTCACTCGCGCGCAACCTTCTCTTTTACGCAAGCCCATGGAAAGTGATCGACCTTTTTGCTGTTATTCGCCCGCCAAAGATAATCTAGGCTCTTGCCTCGCAATAAAATATCATGTTATTTGGCTTCGAGAAGTATTACCGGCGGTAAATCGCCCTATCACCGCGTCTCTTTATTTTTATCTATAATTTTATTAATAAATTTTATACTTGAGAGAAGAGGGGTAGATTCCGATAAAATATATATATCATTTTACTTGTGCAATAATGATATGGCTAATGACTGAGAGATATGATTACACACGATAAAGCTGGCTAATACGAGATTAATGTCTCATATGTGAAAAATATAGTCGGTTGTAAGATGATGCAAATTTGTTATAATACAAATACGTTGTTGTGCATAAAAAATAGTAATTAAAAAATCAGGTTTTTGTCACAGTCGCAATTGTCAGCATAATGTATCACAAAACGTACATTTGATAAATCGCTAGATAATCATTATGTGACGAAACCGCGCGATCACACGGCGAAAAAGTGTGAGCATCTCGTAAACATTCAATCGATTAGTAGTAATTCCTTTTTAATATATGACTCACCGATCGATGCTGAGAAATATCTGGATCGGCACAGCATGTGGCGATTGCATCGGAGAAGGCATGCATCTCTGAATTCCATAATTGTTCAATCGCGAAAGCTGCACAAAAAAAAGAAGCGGTGTTGTCATTAAACCTTGACAATGCGAAGTATATGCCTGACACGTCTGCGTTGGCGAACAAAGTACAATGTTCAAGATTTTTATGTTGCGTGTACATCAGCCGCCTACACGTGATTCGACAATTACACATGTTTGAATTCTCTTTTTATTCCTCTTCATAATGTGTAATAATTTTTCATGTAGATTAACAACAAATTGCCACATATGACGCAAAATATTTTGGTTGTTAAATTAATAATTTTGTATTACAGTCTGAATATTATTTAAAAAAAGCGTAATCAAATACTGTTAAATTTTTTAATAGATTCTATCCAATAATTTTGTCATTATTCATCTTTCAATACTTTCTATGGCGAAGGTCAAATAATGTTCGAATAGAATTAAGTAGTTGAATATAAAATGAGAACGTTAGAACTTTTTGTTCGAATAAAAGTAGTCTTGAGTATATATCATTAAGTCTTCTATAATGGAGATTTGTGCTATTTTTGAATGAATTATATCGAGATAGAAAAGAACGGAAATTCTTCAGTATAACCACCAAGATATATTGTGTGTGACTCTTTGTGTTTTCTTTAAGTGGGTCGCCACGCAGTCTGCTGTGTCATTCATATCAAATCTACGTAAAAGAAAACGTGTCTTGTCATTCTTCGCCTGTGACAACCGAAAAAAAACTGAAAAGAAATCTCATGCTACCTCAATATTTACTGTTCCCGTATAGGAATGCTAAACAATTACTATACAACTCGAAATTGAAATCAATAAGATTTAGATTAGAATTTCAACGAAATCCCATCCGTTAAACGATTATTTAAAAATAAAATTTTGTGACAAATAACGTGATAAGACAAGAATCTTTTTTCTCAATAATTATATTATAATTATAATTTATAATAATTAAATATAATCGCCGTTGTAACATTTTATTTTAATCGATCAGATAAGAAATAATCAAGTTCGACGCATTTGAGTCATTTTCTAGAATAATTTCTAAACTAATAATTAACTTAATCTAATCCTGCTTTTTTATTAATTATAGCAAAAAATTTTTTCCCGTTATTTTTCCGGGTAAATGACTTCACATGATTACACCTTGACTTTTATCAGAACCAAACAAATAAAAATAATCGATTATTTTACCTAATGTGATATCGATCACAAAATAAGGTTATTGCGTGTCGTTAATGGAATGAAAGCGGGGAGGACTAGAATACCTTGCAATTGTATTTAGTATCGATTTTTTCGTAAAACCTATTGCGTTTACTGCGAACGCGAAGCTTTCTCTTGATTATTTATTGACTTCTGTCGAATGAAATTGTTGCGTAGTTAACGACCGAAATAACTTACGTGATCTTATCGTAATAGCCGTTAATGGCATAAACTAGCCTGGTTTAAGCTAGCATCAGTTCACATGCGTTAGATTTCCGCGAAAAAGGACTTTGATCGTTGTTACCGGATACTTTACTGGATAGCGAAGCTGTTGCCAGCCTGTCGCTATTCCGTCGAGTAAATTAAGTAAAGGAGAAGAATTCGGGAGATGTGCGCGCGACCACGGCGAATATCCGTTCGACTTTAATCGACGAAGCAAGCCAAACTAATATGGCGCAAAATAAATGAGCTTAAATCTGCATCGTTTAACTCGCTGAAGTTGACACATTAATAGGGACTTTTAGAGCTTATCCAGACAAACTTGCATAGGCGCATATGCATAAGGAAATGGATTGGTCTATAAGAAGATGTATAAGGAAATGGACCAATCCAATATTTCTTATGCATATGCTTATGCGCTATACAAGTTTGTCTGGATATATATCTTTACTCCCAGAGTCTTTGTCCTTATACGTCAAGGTCAGAAGTTACCTCAATTTCTCAATGACAGTGAATATCACTCGCTTATCATGATCGAACAATGTTAATTGATTACCAAAGGTAGCTATGATATCATGTTTCTTTGTTCCAGGTAATTCGTGTCGACGTCGTTGATGATTCGAAACGCGCGCTAACGCCAGGTCGACCACGTGATACGTCGTCGTATCGACCACCGGACAGTTGTCGCGCGATTGGCTCGGTTAGATCACGTGGTATCGCGCAACGTCAGTTTAGACAACTGTCTGCTCGCAGTAGCAGGTACTTTAGCGTACTTGTCAACGTACTCTCTACAGGAACAAAGAACCTCGCTCTCTCGTTCGGGTCGTCCGGTGTCATTTTCTGCGCTGCTGCGAAATCATCGAGATTAACTCTTTTTGAGCACGTCGCGTCTTGATTTTGGACGCGATCGATAGAAATTCGCGTGAACGACACACACTGTCAAGTGTGCACGCAGCCCGGCGAACGCTTTTGACAGATCGCTGTCGCGGTGACAGTGTCATCGGTGTTTCATCATTCGAATTTCTTCGTTCGTCAGTCAGTGTCATCAGGACTGCAGGGCAGCGCGGGATCGATTTCGTGGCGTTAGAAAAGTTTGATAAGTACGGAATAAGTCTCTTGGCAAATTTTTGTACCTCTCTCTCTCTCTCTCTCTTCTCTTCTCTTCTCTTCTCTCTTCTCTTCTCTCTTCTCTCTTGTGAGAGAACGAGAGAGAGATATCTTTGGACTAAAGACAGCCGCAAGTGTGCCGCAAGTTTTACGTTTCTTTCGCTGCGCCGCGAATTTCGAACAACACTACTGGTTGTGTTCTCTCGTCGGTCAAGTTCCGCGGCCTGTGGTGCGCGGATTTAGGACATGTACAGTATGAACTATATCGCCAAGATCATCAGCAACTTCCGTTTGTTCTACAACGAGATCAACGCTGCGACTCTGACTGGTGCAATCGACGTCATCGTCGTCGAACAGCCGGACGGCTCCTTCACGTGCTCGCCCTTCCATGTTCGCTTCGGCAAGCTCGGTGTACTCCGCTCCAGGGCGAAAGTGGTGAGTTATCAAGCATTTGCCATTGTTATCAATAATTTATTGCTGCATAATGAATACATTAATAACAATAACAATGTATCTTTCATTGTGTTGTTGCTTTCTATCTTTATTGAAGTAAATTATTTTTCAGATAATTTTATATGTGCTTTGCATTTTTATTATAATTATCTTATGACTCTTAAAAACATTTTTTATACATGATTTTATACGCGATAAAACAAATATATAGAATCAGATTTTCATACTGTGCTTTATTATTTTGTAGGTGGATATTGAGATAAATGGAGAACCCAGGGAAATTCATATGAAACTCGGAGATTCCGGTGAGGCTTTCTTTGTGGAAGAAGTTAGTTCAAATGGATCTCCAACGGATACGGAAATTCCACCACATTTGGCCTGTTCACCCATACCTGATGATAATTGTTTTCCACCGCAAAAATTTAATCTTTTGTCGGATTTGCCTCCGGAACAAAGAGAAAAAATTCTTATAGATTCGGTCCTTTCCATAGAACGCGAGAAATGGGAGCAGATGTCCGCCTTGCCACCCGATCAACGGGAGAAGTTTTTGATAGAACAGTTCTCAGATCTTCCTGCGGAACATCGTGAGAAGTGGCTTCAGATTGCTTCATTGACCGTGGAAGAGCGAGACCAGATGTTCAAGGAAAGTTTTGGCACTATTTCTCCAGAGCAAAAGCAGCAGATGATCAGAGAACAATATTCCGCTTTGAAAACAGAGGATAAAGAGAAATTGTTCAAGGAGAATTTTCCGGAACTTTCGGTCGAGCAAAGACAAAACTTTGAGAAGGCTTTACTGAGCGACTGGAAAGAAAAAGAGGAAAAATGGGAAGAAAAAGAGGAAAAATGGGAAGGAAAAGATGACAATTCTAAAAATGAAGATGAGGAGATATTTGATATGGATGCCATCAATGACGAACAGCCAAAGTCAGCAATATCGTGTCCGAAATCTTTCGTAGCTGTTACGTCATCTGAGAGAATTCGTAAAATTAGTGTAGTGAAGAATGATTTTAAGCCGATCACAGATGATCCTCAAAGTAGTAGTAAGGAAAAATCTAGTGACGACTCAACTTCATCTTTAAATAAAAAGAAGGAAGAGAATATTGAAGAGACAAAGAGTAACAATTCGACCAAGAGGAAACGCAAGAGGAAGAGTATTATGAAGAAGAAAGGCTCGCAAAGAAAAACTAGCAATGGTAGCAGTAGCCAGACAGAAATGAGCGAGACTGATGGAATTTTTGCCGAGGAATCAATCAGTGAAACAGTAAGTAATATTACTCTAATGAGCATGATCCTTTTTGTCGTTACATCTTGATATCTTTTTATTTATTAAAGATGTTGAAGGGACCGAGTCCAATCATAGAAGTTGAAAGAAAGAATGCCGCTGCAGAACCCTTGACATCCTCTCAAGATGTAATTGAAAAACGCCCTGAAACCGATTTTCACTTCTTCAGTGACTCAGAAGTTACCAAGTACGTATTATGATACTTTTATTCGACAATAACGTATGGAAATATTTACCAATGTGCTATAATGTGCTTAAAAGGAACAAAGACTCCAGACCATGTTCACCCGTTCAGTCGGACACGGAATTTGAAGTACGTAAAATTATACAAGATGGCAGTGAGAGAGAGGACGACAAGAGTCACCAGCAGAGTTGGAGATGGGGTGAATTGCCCAGTCCACCTCCGGAGTCAGCGCATTTGTCTCATAGAAATTCATTGAATTCTTCGACGATAGCCAATCAGCCGAATAGTTAGTATAATATATCATTACAATTGTATTACTACGATTTCTCACGTCGAACTATATACACTATATTCACAATTAACACCACATTATACAATTCTAAACGGGAGGTGCTATTGTCGATCGTTCTTTCACATTTCGAGGAACTAATAAGCCTGATTCTGATACACATAATAAAATTTAACCAATCAATGTTATAAAATTTTTTTTCCACAAAAAGAAGCTAATTCAACTGCTTGATTGCTAACTTCTCGCAAACCGCTTTTTTTAATGGCAGAAGATGCACAAAGATCTATGCTCAGTGGCATGTTCTCCTTTATGAAGAAGACTTCTCGCGTAAGACACAATCCGGAATCAGAAGGAATTTACCTTAGCGATCTTAATGCCGACGAATTGGACCCTGAAGTTGCGGCTCTGTACTTTCCCTCCTCGCATCGAGGCCCGACGGTGGTTAAAGGTATACGGTAAACTTGCTTTCGCTTTAGCACATTAAACCTATACAACCTATACAACTGAAACTAACATGTTATTAACTACATGTCTGACTGTCTTATCATATTCATAGAATTGCATTAGAAACACTTTTGCATCTTTAATAATAAAATATTTCCGAAGCATTTATATAATTCACAAATTTCTTATTTTTAGAAATGCAAAAGTGTACAGTTTTTTGTTTTGGTAGTGAAAATGAATGAACTAATAAAAAGTGTATTGTATATTTATAAATCAAGTTAATAATTTCCATTGTTTTAATTAACTAAAACTGTGGTGTTGTTTTAATATTGCTCTTTATATTTTCTTTACACAAACACGATTTTCTTACAGATAGAAAAACAATGGATGAAGAAGATACAGAGTCGGGTAACGGACCGAGTCTACCTCAAAGCCCCAACAGTGTTGAGGGAGCCATTGGTGGACCAAAGTCGCTGGACAGCGATTTCGAGGAACCAAAGCATTCTATTTTCGATCATAGCATAGAAATAGGTATGTCCCTATGTGGCGGATTGGACACTGAGAATGGGCCATCCAAAGAGGCTTTCGACGAAAACTTACTTCATTTCGAGGACGTTTGCGCCGATCCAAAACTGTACGAGAATCCGAACCTGGTTATCAAGATCAATGGGAAATTTTACAATTGGACTACAGCCTGTCCAATAGTGTTGACTTACGTCGTTTTTCAAAGATACTTACCGCAAAGCGCGATTGAAAGTCTATACATGTCGTTACCGGTGCTTGAGGATAAGAAGCAACAGAGTAGCAGCAAGTCTGAAACTCGTAGCGGATATAGTTCATGGTTCTCTTGGAGACGTTCTACGCAACCACCCAAAAAACCAAGTGATCAGAGTAAGATGCTTTCAATTTTGCATGCAACTTGACAAATTCTCCTTTACGAATGTATTGGTTATATATATGTGTGTGTATATTTCTACCACGGAATATATTAAAATATGACTTTTGTTGATTTTATCATAGTCGATGGAATTGTCGTGCAGATGTCGGAACAATCTTTGGAAGCTAAGGTTGTAACAAATGAAGAAATACTAGCTAACACGTAAGTCTCTTTTGATTACTTTTTACGTTTTTTCATAATTTTTTACACGTTTCTTAATAACATTGAGAAAAATGATTTCTTTACAGAGAAGCAAAGACTGAGCAAAATACAGATTTGTCAAATTCAAGCGATGCGATAGAAGCCTGTTCGAGATTTACAACCGCATCTAGCGAAACTACGCTCACAATAACCGAGAAAGAGCATGAGGGAGAAGGAGAAGGATATAGCGGCGGTGAGGATTCCGACAGTAATCATAATGAACCAGCGGGCATTAAAATACCGATGGAAAGAAGACCGTACTATGAGTCTACGGAAAAGTATCGTAAAACTCTACGATTGTCATCCGAGCAGATAGTGAGTATTTTACATTTTTTACAATTATGTAAAGAGTTAGGAAAAATGAATAAATTGCGACTCTTTTACAGGCGAGCCTCGATTTGAAGGATGGCGCCAACGAAGTGGTCTTTAGTGTAACCACAGCTTATCAGGGCACGAAACGCTGCAAGTGTCACATTTATAAATGGAAGTGGGACGATAAGATCGTTATCTCCGATATCGATGGTACTATCACGAAATCGGATGTGCTGGGTCACATTCTGCCGATAGTAGGCAAAGATTGGGCCCAATCAGGGGTTGCTCAACTTTTCACGAAGATTAAGAACAACGGCTATAAGCTACTGTATCTTTCGGCGAGAGCAATTGGACAGGCTGGAGGTACTCGGGAATATTTGAGGAATTTGAAACAAGGAGATTTGACGCTTCCGGAAGGTCCGTTACTTTTGAATCCTACGAGCTTGATTTTGGCGTTTCATCGCGAGGTGATAGAGAAGAAGCCGGAAGAGTTCAAGATATCCTGTCTGAAAGATATTCAAGCGTTATTTCCCGAGGGATCTGAGCCATTTTACGCAGGATATGGCAATCGAATAAACGTATGAACATTGAATTATATTTGTCGATTATTAGTTAGAATTTTATGTGAATAATTATATGCAAAAAATTATTTTATATGTACAGGATGTATGGGCGTATCGAGCAGTAGGCATTCCTATAATGCGGATTTTTACAATAAACCATCGAGGAGAATTGAAGCATGAATTGACGCAAACATTCCAATCATCGTAAGTATTGCATCACTTCTACTATTAAAATATAATAATTGTTTGATATTTTCTTTCTATACTGAGAAGTGCACGTAATCGCAAAGTTAAGAAATAAAGATACATATTTTTTTATTGTTGCTCGATTAGCAATGTATAATAATAATCTAACCTAACTGTTATTTTATTTTTCTCATAATTTTAACATTTCTTTTCTATGCTTTGTAGCATTATTTTATCAACGTAATATTGTAAATGTAATATTTTGTACTATTCGAGATAGTATTTCATTGTGTTCATGAATACGCTAACTTAAGAGAAGTCTTGTAAATGAGATATGTGACTAATAGCAATTACGATTGTATGATGTATACATAGTATTTAATTTTGTGACATTGTCGAATCTTTCTCTTTAACCAACTCTTATAAAATCAATGTTTATATTAACAGCTTTTATGATCTCTCGATTATCTTTTTTAAGCATGCTAAAAAGGAATTTACAATAATTAACAAAGTGGATACCGCCTACTAAACTTTGATAAGGGCTTAAGCATTGGGAAATGAAGTTATTGGTTGGAAAAAGGATGTGCGAGTTTTTTCAGAGGGTACTGATAGGTCGGATATTTCTGTGATTACAGTTATGCGCGTCAGTGCAATATCATCAATGACTTGTTCCCGCCACAACGTATGCCAAACGTCTACTGATAGCGGCACAACCATAACTTTTATCAGACTTGTATTAGTTAAATTGAATTGCAATAACCATTTGATTGCAGTGTCATATAACAATGTTAATGGTATCCGGCCACGTTTAACGTGTATTGGTTGCATTATGCTTGGAATATTACCATGCATAATGCAATCTCTTTATTTTTTGGCAATGGACATAGTACAAAGTTAAAATGCACATTTTCATGTAGTGTAAGAACGTACAAGTGATAGGATGAGCTCAGGAAAAGTTATTTTTAATTATGAACAATTAAACCGGATACGTGGGTCGAATATAAACGTAATTAGATACTTTAGTATCATTGTATTATTTTGGGATATATTTGGTTGTGCGACAACTCCTACCTATCTTCTTATGATTTATAGGGTAAGCACTTGTTTTGTACACATTTGCTTTTCATCGCCGCTTGATACGCTTTGGTTTCTGGTCATTCTAACATCTTTTCACGACAACATTGGGAACAACATACATTTTCCATTTATTTCAGGCAGAAATGGGAAGGGGATGATATTAACGCAATTCATAATTCATCTTCAAGTATTGTTATTTGAATGTATAAATGAGGGGAACTTTTATTGTCTTTATCAGACACATTTTCTTATCTGCTTATTGCTCGTAATGTTTCAACCAAGCACTTCATGTTCACTCTGGCATAAACTATGATTCTACTTCAACATGAAGAATATAAATGTTACTTATAAAACATAATCATAGTGTGTAAGCTACAAATATTTATGTTGCTATAATATTAACATCCATGTTTGTTGTTTTATCTAAAATTGATCATAACTTATCCAATTTATAATTCTTATATTCATTTTTCTCACATTTTATGTTTGTTTGTCACATTAATCTAGATTTATTGTGTCCTTTACGTTTACGTTTTAATCTAACTTGTCTAAAAAAAACATTTGTACATATTGCAGCACATTTATTTCATGTGGCAGTATATGTGTTAGAAATATTTCAATCCATACAATTCTTATGTTTCTTTATCGGTTAATGTATTGATTTATTTTATATAAACGAGCAACAGATTATTCATTTTCCAGCCATTCTGACAGCACAAGGACACAAACATGTTTGATATATGCTTTACAATTTTCGTTTGTTTTCTCATTACAGGTATTCGAATATGAGTTTCATCGTCGACCATGTGTTCCCGGCATGGCGAGAGGACGCAGCCGATGAGTTCAGCAATTTTGCGTATTGGCGAGACCCGATACCTGAAGTGCCGAAACTCGAGGAGCTTCATGCTTAGACTCAAGCTACCTAAGAAATTTTATTCTGCAACAATCATTCGCTTATATTACGAACGATGATCGTCATATTTAGCTAACTTTTATACTTTGTGCGTTAATCGCAGTGACCTTGACTGGTATGATTATCCAATATAGTGCATTAGAAGTCTCGAAAGCGCAATCGTTTAACGTTTTATTTGAATGTTAGATTATTGTTTCGACAATTAAGAAATTCTATATAAAAAGATGGAAAATTTTGTTAAGTACAACTTAACTTAACTTAATTTATGTTTTAAATTGTACATTATATATATATGTAACTTACATTACAACGTAAGTTATATATACGCTTATAAATTTTGCATCATTTTTATATAAGAATAATTGTTATATAAGCAATCGAAAAAATATAAATCATATTTTTAGATTTTTATTTATAGGTGCACGTCACACAACATTCCAGCTTCAGTTACATTTAGATAATAGAAGATGCTCGTGTTAACGATATTATATTAGATACATTCTACATGATTTGGACTTAATCACACCAGTCAATGTACACAGCGTGCCTAGTAATTAGATACGATACATGCTTCACGGTATAATTAAAGTGAGTCTTGCACTATGCTTGATGAAGTCAGCAAGCTCTCCCAAGTGATACTTTATCATTCAGTCGATGTAGAACACAATTTTGGCAATTGATGGTCGATAGGAATTTTTCAGTCTTTTGCATAGTGCGAATCGTTTATATATTCATCGCGCAATACTCGTACTAGAAAACCTCGCTTATGACTGCATACATGTAAGTTTTATACAAGCATCTAATTGTCTACGTACATGTCAATTTTCTACATTGAACTGCGTTGGAATTTTGCTTAATAACTGGTGATAGGATATTCTAGGACGTAAGATATGGGAGGATAGTTAACTATTTATCGCTTCTTTATTTTTTTAGAGAACTATCTTTTATTTTTGTACGAGATCTCGATTAAGTTGGTATGCTGTGAAATTGCCATATCCTCACAAAAGTTATCATTTACATTGTGATATTCTAATCAAACAAGGAAAATTGCGAAGTAGATAATGTGTATAGACTTGGATTTCCTTTAAATCAATTGTAGTCATACAAAATACGAATTTATTCTATATTCCGTAGATCATATGTGACGTAGTTTTTATTTTTTATTTGATTGTTCTTTACTCGTGGTTGTAATATATTCTATTAGGTTGCAGTCTTTCATAAGTTACCTAAAATATGTTATTGACATTTAGATTAAGTTATTGTTGTGTTTTAGTTGGATCGAGCAATTTAATATGGAAGTAAAGTTGACAGGTTTGCACTTTAAACTTGGCTCGAATTATGTGGTTAAAGCAGTACAGGTACAACTATATTCAACCAAAGAGCTACATTCGCAATATATGTCTTATTAAGTATAGTGCACTTTAGGGCAACGATGCAGAAAGATTACCGAACGAATAGCTTTAAAAATGTCTTTATTTAGGCAAATGTAAAATGGTGCGGAGAGTGACAAACAACAGAAAGAAGTAATATTGTACAGATTTTGTATTCTTGATTTAGAGCAGACTTTAAATTGACTTTTATTTTAAATGTATATTGTACATACGATACAAGACGTAACGGTATACTGTATATTTGTAATTATTTAAGTGTATTATGTTCGTTTTTTGTTAAAACTATTATTCTTAGTACAAATAAATCCAAACAAAATCTGTTTACACATAATTCCCTTTGTCGTTTGCGTATCATTTTATCATAGCCGTTTTTTGCAATAATGAAAAGAATTTCCGATTTTTTATGTAAATGTAAAATTGAAAATTTAAGGTATAACGTTCCATAAAAGTGATAAAATAAGTATGTTAGTTTAATTATAGTTATTAGATATTATTTTTCTACACTAATCAATATAATTTTGACAAAAAAAGTGAAAACATTTAGAAATTATTATATGCAATGAGACAATATGTTAAAATTTATTATATAAGAGTGACACAATATGTATGTCTACTAAAGAGTAAATCTCATTTGTGTCAATAAGAGCAGTACACATTATCTGTAGATAATCTGAAGATGATCTCATCGTTACATAATGTAATATGTTTCATTAGATTCGGTATACTTAATTCTTGTTTTAGCAATATTAACACATCACTAAACTCCTATATGAAATAAATGTATGTCCTTGTATCCTTTAGAATCATAAATAATAAAATTCATAAAAATAGTTGCTTCATCATAATCAAAGTACGATTATTTTGTAAAAATCAGTATTATTAGTTTCGTCACTCTTGTATTATTCATTTTATAAATTTTTATAACAAATATAGCTAGATAAAATACCCCTTATTAACAACGATAATGATATATTTTGTCATACCAAAAATTTAAAATATGTTATATATGTTACATCAAACCATGTTTTATTTATTGTGTTTCATAAAAGAGCAACAAATTTTACAAAAAATTTTGTGAAAATGTTTTGCATATAAAATGTGATATATGTTAGAATGATTTATGCGATCCTGGTTTTACTGGGCCAACGAGTTTTAATCTAAAATGTCAAGATTTATATGTCGCATAAATTTATCACGTTTTACAGGAAAACAGATTGCATTCATATTGCACATTTGATTACATGATTCAAACACATTTTATTCTCTATTAATTATATACCTCATGTCTTAATTTTTGCATACTTTTTCTTCTAGTTTTTCTTCCAGTATCTTCATTATCTGAATGCTCTAAAGATTCGATAGAAGATGTACTGTGTCTTGTATCAGAATTGAAATCAAAAACTACTTTGGGTGCATTATTTTTGTTTTGATTTTTAGATATATTCCAATAGCATTGATATATGGCCTAAAATATTGTTTAAAATGCATTAAATTACTGCATATATAAAATAATATAGTTGCCTATGATATAAAAATATCTTGATCAAATATTTAAATACTCGTAATAAGAGATAATAACCTCTCCCCCACTCACCCAATATAATATACCGATCATCCAAAATGGGGTTAATGCATACAGTTCATGCATATTTTGATCAACTTATTGTTTTTCAATTTATATATTATTTTGTAAAATTATATTTGTTATTTAAGACACTTGAAATTTTGCTTGACATTAAAAGACATTTAAATTATCGATTATTCTATATTCATTTGTCATTTCTTATTTAAATGTAGTAATTTCATTTTTTACATGTTCATACGAAATTTGATTTGGTAAATTTTTTTTAAATAGCAAGAGCAGTTATATATAAAATATTAACCGAGTATATTGATGTATGGAAAAAAAGTTTTATATACAGATACATATTTTCTTATATATAAAATTACAATATAAATTTCACGTATAATCATTGTTTTCCATATCCATTTCCTCTTCACTGTTTTCCGGTACTGCAAGCTTTTTAAAACCATGTTTTTTTGTATACACTCCCAAGAGTAACAGTTTGAAAACTGCTAATGGTCTATCAAATAATTTCTATAAAATATATAGTTATATTAACATAAAAATTTTACTGTATTATATAAAGAATATAAAAAATATATATGTACCAAAATTTGTGCCTGTTCTGGTGTTAGTACATCACCCTTCTGACAAATTTTGAATGGTTTAATTAAAGTGATAACTCCCTTTTGCAATGAAGTGGGCATACCCAAACGTCTCAATTGTGGTTCCATGCTATGGTCAAATTGTGGGAGAGGTCCTTCGGGTAACTCTAACGATTCGGGTGTTACAAATCCAGAACGTGCATATTCCATTTCTTCATATTCCTCTGCCCACTCTGTTACCTATATAAATTCATTATTAATAAATGCAACACAGAGTTAAAATAAGATCTTTATTACAAAGCTTTAAAATACATATATATCTATGGTTCAATAAAGCTTTGTTTATCAAACCTTAGCTTTAAATGCAATTTAATCACAGTAGTTAAATTTTTATATATTACATACCTGTTTCTTTGATCTATTAGTAAATAATAAACCACATTGACCTTTCATGGATTGATTTCTCATTGCATTAGCCAATTTATGTATGCCATCTGCAACTTCTGTTTCTTGTGTTTTTCCTAGACCCAACGCAAGTATTCTAAGTTTACCAAAAAAAAGTCTACTATCTTTCCACTCTGCACGCAAATTGAACAGTTTTGTATTGCGTGTATTTTGAAGAGAAATTAGGAATATACGATTATATTCCTCCACACATTTTTTAACATCTTCAATGATCCGTTGCTTCAAGACTAAGCCCTTTTTATCGGTTTTAGTAAGAGATACTAAACAAAAATAAATATTTTACATTATATATTATAAATGTGTTAAATGCTTTATCCAATATTAGATATCATTCATATAAATCATTCAGTGTTAAAAATAACTAATGTTTTATATGCTATAGCAACCAAATTATATAGTTACAACAAAATTATCTTTTATCTATTTAATTATAAAATATATATACATGTATGAGTAATATAATAAATATTAAATAAACATATATAATATAATAAAGGTTATTTAAACAATGTATATACGTTCTTAGAGGTTAGACAATCAAGCTAACAATCTTTAAAACATACTACATATATACAAAACTATATGATAAAATCTTATAAAATTACTTTTCTTGTCTCGTTTCGATTTTGGCATTTTGCAAATGAAATCTTTTGCGAACCAAAGAAATATAACAAAATAATTTATTAGAATTTACACTACACCACACGTGTCGCTATATAGCTAGAAAATATCGAAAAAAGTGTTTATTAGCTTGAGCATCGGACTCACGAGATGGCACTAAAAACGGCATACGCAAAAATATATTGCGCTTTTATTATATTTGACAGTTATCGGTGTATTAAAATTGATTAAAGTTTAATTTTTAATTATAAGTAGAAGTAATAGCACAGGTAATATGAAAATAAAATAGTCGATTTGTTTGAGATTATTGAAACTTTAAAATTTTAAGCATTTTCAAGTTACTTTGTACTATACTCGTAGCCCTGTAAGTATAACCTTATTTGTGAATCTTTTGTGTAGATTAAGCTATTCTAACCATGGCTAAGAGAAAAGTTTCTTTGCGACGTTCTAAACGGTTCTCCGGAAATAGATCTTCTTCTCTGTATAATTCTACAGTTCTCGATTCGAATTCAACTATTTTAGGTGAAGGTAAGAATGTGTTCTCTTTATTATTCTACATTATACAGCATAAGTTATCATGCACTTATAAACATTTGAAAAAAATTTTGATGAGCTTTTGACAATAATGCAGAATCAAGATTTTGGTGGAATGATTTGGAAGAGAATACGTCTTTGCGATATTCTTTAATACGTAATAATGGAAATGAAACAACTCAACAATTGAGTCAGAATTCAGAAACCAAATCTGATCAAAATACGTTACAGTGGTACAAATATTTATCATCGGACAGTGAACATAATGCTTCAAACTCAAAAGAAAACTTTAACAGAGGTATACTCTACAACAATAATTTTACAATAATAGTAGTAAATAATTTTATTTTAAATAATATATATTTTTTTAGTGGCAGTCAAAACACATCGTAAAGTTATAGCATCAACAACATCTGAATCCGAAAATGAAGTTGATGTAACAAAAGCGAAAAGGTTTAATCTGAGGCCAGCACGTAAAACAACTGAAAAAAATGTTTTTTTGGATGTTTTGAATACTGATACTGGTACTAACTCTGATAGTGGTTCTTTAAACAATAAAAATTCACAAATAAAGCTACATGAAAGTATAGAGGATAGTCCAAATTTGAGTATAAGATTAAAGCCAAATATTTTTAAGAAAAAAAGAGGTAATAAAGTGGAAGATCGGAATATCTTTCAAGATGTACTGGCAAAAAATAGCATTTTAGACAGCAGTATAAGGAAAAAATCGTTTGGACTTGATAAGGAATTCTTGCAGAATTCAACTTCTCAAAATATTGATACAAACAAAGATCATATTAATGATCAAAGGAAAGGATCTATAAAATTATCACAAGCGTTATCACTGGATAATGAAATTGATTCTTCGGATGTATCAACTTTGAAAAATCAGAATGCAACATTTGAAAATAATATTATGTCTGATATTGATGAGACAGAGCACGGTAATGATAAAAGTAAAAGATTAGGTAAACGTATGAAATCCTATTTTTCGCGACGCGCACGAAGAAGCACAGGAAGAAATGCTTTTGAAATTGCTCTGGCTGATGACCAAGATATATCAGCATTGAATGCATCTAAGAAGCAATTGTTAAATATTTCAAAGGAAAAAAACAAAGACAATATTGAAGAAGATACGAGCAGTTCATCTTTAAATAATAATGAAATTCGCAAGTCCGTGAAATTTTCAAAGTCAAAAATTAAATATTCGAGATCACATAATAAGAGCTTAAATGAAAATTCACAAAAGGAGCCATTTGAACAGAACAATACAAACGGAGAACAGACTTTAAGCATATTGACTGAACGATTATCCAATTTAAGTCCTGGTAAGGAAACTCGTTTAACACGCAATAGTTCTAAAACGCGATTTGAAACACCGACGCCTACGAAGAAAAGAGCACGTAAAGTTACGAATGATGATTTGGAACACAACATCAATGAAGAACAAAATTCAGACACATTGGTCAAACGATTACCCAACTCAAGTTCTGGTAAGGAAACTCGTTTAACGCGCAATAGTTCTAAAACGCGATTTGAAACACCGACGCCTACGAAGAAAAGAGCACGTGAAATTACAAATGATGATTTGGAACACAACATCAATGAAGAACAAAATTCAGACACATTGGTCGAACGATTACCCAACTCAAGTTCTGGTAAGGAAACTCGTTTAACGCGCAATACTTCTAGAATTCGATCTGAAACACCGACGCCTACGAAGAAAGGAGCACGTGAAATTACAAATGATAATTCGGAATATGACATGAATAAAGAGCAGGATTCAAGCACATTGGACAAAGAACCACCCAACTCAAGTCCTGGTAAGAAAACTCGTTTAACGCGTAATACTTCTAGAATTCGATCTGAAACACCGACGCCTACGAAGAAAGGAGCACGTGAAATTACAAATGATAATTCGGAATATGACATGAATAAAGAGCAGGATTCAAGCACATTGGACAAAGAATTATCCAAATCAAGTTCTGGTAAGGAAGCTCGTTTAACACATAATAGTTCCCAAAGTCGATACAAAACACCAAACTTTACAAGTGGGGCAAAATTGTCTACACAGTCTGCAAATAAGAACGTCCATATTGAAGATGTCGATGTCGATAGCGTAAGTACGATTTCTGAAATAAATGTAGATGATTCCTTACCAATAACAAGTTCTACAAGAATTTCTTCCGCTCAAATTAATGAGGGTGTAAAAGCCCACAAAAATGCTACTTTATTCTTTAATACGGCTGATGAAGAAGATGTTTTCGCGACGCAAATGGTTCAACGAAAATATTCTTCGCCAGGTAACAGAACGAGCAACAAGACAATAAATCAGCAAACATTGTCGACCGTGGTAAATCTAAATAGCATTAAAGAGAATAAAGAAACTGCACATAGGCAAAAGAGCTTGAATAGATCATCTCAAAATGGTAGCACACCGATTAAAGCATTAAGTAAAAATATTTCTATTCGTAATAAATTAAATTCACCCAAAAAATTGAAAACGATAGATGATTTTTTCAAAGTGAAACAATCTTCTACAACAGTGGCTGAACCGTCTACATCAAATAATAAGAACTTGGCGCCCTTACAAACTTTCAATGAGAAAATGGAGAAGATTAAAATGGAGCTGGAGACAAGAAACCAAACGAAGAGTCACGAAGTGGCTGCAACTGATAAGAAAAAATATGAGTTGAAAGTGAGAAATGCGAATCCGGTCAGTATCGTGGTAAAACAACGTGCTAAGAACAAAGTGCCTGCAAAGTCGACAAAGAAAGTGGACAAGGCGTTTCTAGTAAACGGGGAAGTCTACAGAGTACCGAGGCTTCCTCGCCCCAAGTATTGGGTCACAGATCATCTTTACAAGTTCTTATGGAATCGCATGGAGGAAAAGTATAAATTTGCAACAAGAATAAAATCTGAGAAATTCGTGCAAGAGTTAAGCAAGATAGTCTCTTTTATCTGCAATAGTAAGAAGTACGACAGCTATAAGATGGAATTAAAGGCACTGATGAAAGAAATGGCTCGATTGAATATTATTAAGACTCGTAACGACTTTTATAATTTTTGTTGGGATTTTATGCCATATGAATTTCGTGTTAAAGCTGTCCCTATGTTATTACCTGACAACAAAAGGACCATTCCTTACGATCCAGAAATGTTACATACACCATTACTCAGTGATGATCATTACGATGATTAAAATCGTAATACGAAAGGAGTTACAATGTTAGTCGGAGTTACAAGTTAGTTACAATGATAGTCGTCTAAAAATTACATCAAATCAATTAAAGATTATGCCTTTGTAATTACTGTGTGATGCCGCATTTGTATATATCTATATTTAGGTCATATTTAATTAGTCTGTAAATTCATACTTTATAATGTTGAGATATAAGTAATATAATATTCGATAAGCATAGGACAATGTACAAGTATCATCTGTATGACATGAAGCTCCACATGTATAATATTGTTACATTTGTATTTTTTTAAATAAAGTTATGTATTTCTTATCTTTTCTTAAATAACATTCTATCTTTTATATATTTCATCTTGATAAAACGTATTAAGTATAAATAAAGTATGTTACATAGCTCACTGGCTACTATACCGCCCTATAAATTTAAAATGCTACGTCAGAGGGCATTACGCGTAGCAAATTGAAATGTGTTCAAATAGGCTCTCAAATTCTATAAACATTTGAAATTTTAGAAAAAAGTCTTTGTTATCTGTTAAAGTTTTGTATTATTTTAAATACAAAGTTTGTAATAAAAATTGTACGCCTTATACGTTTTTATTAATTAAAGATTTCTCTTTATAAAATATTTTTCTTATTAAAAATTTTGTAAATTATTATATAACAATTTTGAAGCAATTTTTAAATAAATTTTCAATTTTAAAGATAAAGTATTTTGATTAATAAAAATGCATTTTATCTAAATAAATATCTACACTTTATTTTTGATAACAGTTTTCAACCATTATTTTAATTAAAACTATATCTAATATTTTATTTGAAGTGCTATTAATTATCAATCTAACTATTATTAACTATTTATCTTTCTAATTTAAGTATTTTTTGCAAGATTGTTTCCATTTACGAAATTTGTCTGTAGCCGCGCAATGGAGCAATTTAAATCGGCGCGGTACGGCGCGCCGGAAGCGGGCGTGCGCGCGCTCGGCAAGATGGTGGTTTCCGCTAGTCGCGCCAGTGCATTCAGTAAGAGCGTAGTGAACGGTAGCTGTTGAACACGTCGAAAGCTCGATTTTCCAGGCCGTTTACAGCAATCCGAAGGTAAGTCTTTTTTATCTCATAATTGTTCGCTTTTCAACTTTTAAATTGTCGCGATCGTTGTCGTGTGCTGCGGTTTCGGCAAATTGCGCGACGTGCGCCGCAACGCTCGTGTGAACCCCGTAGCCGTGCAATCCGACGACATCGGCGACTGCTCGTCGGAATTTCGCCGGCGATAATTACGCCGCATGTTTCCCTCCCTCCAGACGTGATCCCACTTGGTCGGAATCAAATTCCGGGACATGCATGATGGCGTCAATCTAACGAAATACAGTCGAGAAAACGTACGGATCGTTCGTTCTTTCGACTACATCGCGTGATCGGCGGTCAGAAGGCAGCCGCTTGCCGCACCGATGACGCACGAGACGCGTGCGAGGAAGAGAGAGAGAGGTTCGCCCGTCGTCGTTTCTCGCTATCGCCATGTTGCTTTCACGGCCGGCGACAAAATTCCTTGCACGTTACCGAGCTATTTCGAGGAAAGGATATCTCGCGGAGATATCTGCGTGGCTCGGTGGTTATCAGTGGGACAGTTGGATGGTTAGGATGGAGGATATTGAGGGACGGTGCTTTGCTCGCTCGACCATTCGCATCGATCGCTTTTCTTTCTCTCTCTTTCTCTTTTCTCCGTTCGCCTCCTCTCTTCCTTCCTTCCTTCCTCCTAGAAATTCTTTTAACCCTTATTTACCGAACGTTCGCCCGGAAGAGTTATTATTTGCGATGCCGTAATCGTTTTTTTAATATGATTAAAATTGGTATTTTCGCACTTTTGATAGGTGATATGTTAATTGCGCGTCGCAGAAGCAGGCAAACAATTTTATTATTATATAATTTGGTTGTGAAATTGATACATATTTCATACCGACAAACTTGGCGTCGTATGTTTGTATTGTAGTTGTTCACCTTTGCTTTATGCGCATCTCACATATATGTGAATAGATAAGTGCGCAAAACTGAGGTGATCTATAAGATGGGTGATCTATGTTGCGAGATACACTTGTTTATACATAATTTGTCATAATGTATGACTATTGCAATTTTGAGATAACATGACACTACTTTAAGGATAACGTTGTCAATTTCTATTAAAAAATTATTTAAAAAATAAGAAAAATCTATATATTAGTTTATGTTACAGTTGATTGTTCGCTATGTGCAAGTGGAAGATCGTTTTCAAAAAAATATTTATCACTATTTGTCGACAAAAATTTATTCTATAATATCAAACCATAGATTGCAATTTTTTTGGCATGAAATTCTTTCCACTGTAAATGTCTCATAGAAAAATTTTTATAATAATAAAATTATATTAAAATAATTATGATAAATAATCATATAAGATAATTACACACTTTTTACTTGTATAATGTAATGAAATTTCTTGTGTTGTAAGAGCTTAATCATTAATATTTTATTATTACCGTCACTAACTTGCAATCTAAATGTGTCAAAAATGACATCTTTCATGGAGTAAGATAATTGAGTGTTAATAATTACAAGTTAACGAGCGAACATAAAGTAGTGTCTTGTTTATATACTAAAACTTTTGATACCACACGCACTTGAGTGCATTTTGGTAAACGAATCTCCCTGACAAAGCTTCGTCAATTTGCGTTTCAGATGTCTAATGAACGATATTATCAGATTACCTGTTCTCAATGTTCCCGCCCGTCTTCCCTCTAGGTCATCGAACAGCCGGCGAGATCTGCTCTTTTCGCCAAGGCCGACACCCTCCTTTACTCCCTCTTCTCCTTGTAACCTCCTCAGTTCTACGTATTTGCGTAACGAGCGAAGGCCTCTTTTACGTTCTGGAGGCCATCGTGTTCTTCACTCTCGCGGCATTCTCGCTTGATCACTCGCGGCTGTCGCCATTCATCCATCGACGGTTTTACTGATCGATCGCAACTATTACCGGCTACTTATGCACACACGAGAAAAAGAAGGATACTTATATATGGAGTATTGAAAAAATTTAAGAATTTATATCTGTTGTAAAACAATCCTGACGAATATTAGGATGTCGGTCATTTTTTAATTGAAAAAATCATGCTCAATCGATTAAAAATAATTAAAAATAAAAATGTCAATTTGTCTCTTATATTCAACAAAATTAAAAAATTATGGAATGAATCTAATGAAATTTCCAGTAAAAGTTTTACTCTAGTTAGTCAGAGAATACATCTTTGATTTTTGTTTCGATATTCTATATTGCTTGCTGCATTATTAAAGAAATGCAATATGTTTGGCATCTTTGGCCCTCATGCAGTAGGGCAATAATAAAAAAATCATATTGTAAGAGACATAAATACATATATTTTTATCCACATGATAGAAATAAAAAATACTACGCGATAGTTCATATAATAAAAGAATTGTTATGTAAGGCGTTTCAAAAATCTGTTGATTTAAACTGGAAATTAGCATACGTGGATTAAAAATGTGGCATTGAATATTTTGAAAAATTTGAAAATTGCCAAAGATCTAAAGAGATAGCAATTTCTTTCAAGAATTATTTCCAACAATTATGAAGTAGTTCGAAATGCCAGATAATTATATTTGTGTATTACTAATTTATATAAAATCAATGCTCAGATCTCATTGGGGCTACCGTTTGATTGTTTAATGTGATTTGGTACTATGTCACACACACTCAACACACATACTCCTACTTATCCTAGAAGTGTTTGCAGCAATTACTGCGATTGCCACACCGCGCTCACTGTAAATGGCATATTAATTTAATCAAAAGGATTTGGCGTTAATGATCATTCTGCTACATTATTCATCATAATGCTGAGGCATTGCGTGAAGGGATTTTGTTTGTTCATAGTACTCTTAATTAATACACCATTGCTTCAGTGATGGTACGAATTCGGTGTTTAATCGTTTTCGATTCAATCCTAGTTATCGGAGTCGCTATCGAGCGTGTAATGATGTATCACGCGCCAATTCAATCCCAAGTTATTTACTTAAATTTTACATAACGCACACGTCTGCGTCGAACCAGCTTTGTTTTTGGATGAACGTTGCCGAAATTGTCCACGTACATTTCGCCTGTCGATGCGTCAATTTATTTGATCACTCGTCGATTTCGCGGATAATGTCGCGATAATATTATAACGGATTAAATATGTCAGTAATTTATGCCATTTCCAATTAGATTTATAATTACGAGTGATTCAATTTTTCAGGGTTTAAATTAATTTTCTCTTGGCTTTAAATTTGATTCGGATATTAGGACATTGTTTTACGATATTTTTCGTTGAAAAATAGTTTAGTATTTATGGATATTATATACAATTACTTGCTTGTACATTGTTAGTTGCTAATGACGCAAAATCGAAAGCCGATGCCAGAAGCAACTATGAGAATGTTTCGTATAATGCTTCTAATTTTATCGAAAGCAACAGCAAAGACTGACGTGATTTTATCGATTTGCGTCGATGCTTTCAACCGAACAAATGCGATCATGAAGATTCCTTCTCGAACATGGAATTTCCTTTAACAGACGTTATTTACGTTGTGCTATTAATTAATCACTATCTAATTACTATCTACAAAATTTTGCGGCACAAAATATTTTCCATCTTTTCCAGTATTTTGATTGCAAAATTACTTGCAAAAATGACTAAATAACCATGTGTTACCTTCGATATGATGGTAATCACAATCTTGCGAAGCGAACAAGTGTTTCGCCACTATCGCAGAAATGATTGAATTTAATTGTAAGCGGGAGAGAAAAGAGACAATCAGATTTCTCTCTTAACTCCGTTCGTGGAAACGTTCGACTGTGGCAGCGCGTTAATGGATTTGAAAATCGCGTTTCTGCGCGGCCGGCTGTAATGATTATTCCATCTGCGGGTGGAATTCGACTTGACGCGAGCTCATTTCCTGGTTGGAAAGCGACGTCCGTGATCGGAATCACGTCGGGCCCATTGAAGAAAGTCGCATTCATTAGGCGTCTCGCCGCCTACGCAACTGTGTCCCGTACATTCATTTAGCCTAAATATGACATTTGATTCTCAGTTTAACTAATATAACGACGGACTTTAGCAATAATACATGGAATATGATGAACACAAATTTCTCGCCAAAATATTAATAATCGGGCAAATTTTACGTTAGATTTTATTGTTACAATATTTACGATATAACTTGAAAAAGACTTTTTAATTTAGCCGTAATATTTGCGATTCAAACGAATTATCGAGCGTTTTGTATGTC